GATAATTCTATGTTTATCCTTTTGTGTGATGTAAATTAAATGCTGAATAGTAGTTCATGCAGGGAAAGAACATATCAATATTCATATATTCATGCAAAAACATGAAAATTCTTAATGGAGTACCCTCATTTCTTATTGAATTCCTAAAAAACAATATTTATAATGAATTTTAATAATTTTTTCAGAATTTTTTTGAAGCTTTATTCTGACCGATTAACCCGATTCCCGATCCGAATCGCCGATCCGGATCGGTTTTTTGGGTGCCCGATTCGGGTCACCGATCCGTTTTTTAAACCATTGGTTGAGACTGAGCAACCGTGGATGAGAGTTTTGGCTGCAAAGTATGGAGTAGACTAAACTACCCAACTCATCAATGGTAGAAGGGGTGGCCATAATTTTTCACAAATATGGAAGGAGTGGCCATAATTTTTCACAGATATAGAAGGAGAGTCTAAGAGGATGAGGGTGATGGTGTTTCATAGTTGGATGTTGTGGTGAATTTCACAAATATAATATGGCAGTTGTCCAAAACTATTTCACAAGTGGGAAGATGGATCCCACTAGCTAGTGGGTGCATCAAATTGAACTTATATGTAGCTCTTTTGGAAATCCTGGGTCGGTTGGCATTGGTGGGCCGGTTGGCATTGGAGGTATTTTGATGGTGTTGTTCTTAGCTGCTTTTTCGATCATTGTGGTCACTCTACACCAATAAGGCAGCAAAACTGTCTTCTTGGCTGTTTGGTTTAATTGTGTTGAATGATGAATTTTTAAGTGTGTGGTATATTGTGAAAGGGGTTTCTTTCAATGTGATAAATTGATACAAGGGGAGTTAGATGCCTCCCTGATCACTCAGATCTCTTTGGATGGAAATTGCGGATTTACTATTTGGTCTGCGGGTTGATTTCCATCATGTTTATGGGGAGGGTAATCATGTTGTTGATTTCTTAGTGAAACATAGAGTTAATAATTCTCTGTTTGTAACTAGTGATTCTCTTCAGTTGTAATTGTAATGTTTATTTTTATTATCAATAAAAGCCTATAATCATGTTTTTTTAAAAACAGCATCTTAAGATTGAACGTGGACCATCTAATTTTTGGAGGACGAGATTTAATTGTTCAGCAATTCAAAATCCAATTATATTTAAAAATAATCATTTGGTGATTCTTAGATGAATCCCTAAGTTTTCATACCAAGAGAATGCTCAAGACTCTAGGGTTTAATATGTTAGAGACAGTCAACATACAACACATGAGCATGCTATACGCACTATGATTAATGGAATTGGTTGGTACTTTTGATGGAAACCATATAATTTTTACGAAACTTGAATACCTTTCTCATGCACTTGGACATGTATGTAAAGGCAAAAACTCATTGAAAAATATAGTTGTGGTATGGGAAAACTTTCAAATCGATCATCTCATCCTTGACCATTATAGTTGTGAAAAAAATTAGGATTTCAAGTCCTAAAATAACATATGTTGCAACACCTTTATCAAATGGTTGTGCTTTAGTAATGAGATTTTAACTAGTATTTGAACTCTTATTAAAATAGTAATGTTTCTAATCAATCTAATTTCTAACACTACCCATTCAACATTTTCAATGTGGGTTGGTTATATTGGGACCTCACTGTCATTGGCTTCTATCCACCTCGACATTGTCCTTGATGTGAGATAGTTTCACATCAAAACATCAACTACCTTGACCAACCCAATATGTTATATTATAGGGAAAATTACATACATACCGTTATAGTTTCCGTTATTACTACTGTACCGAATAGTTTCTGTTATTTATCACTGTGTCCGTTTTTCTCAAGTCAAAATGGAAATTTTTTAAAAATATGATTTTCTCTTTTTTGCAGTTGTTGAACAATCGAATTCAAAGTATTTTCGGTTGTTCAACAATCGAAATCGGGGCCAATTTAAGTTTTTCAATAACCAAAAATTTAAAAATTTTGGTTCTTCAAGAGCTAATTTTTTTTTCCTCTCTCATGGATCTGTCTGTCACCTCTCTACCCCTCTCTCTACATTACACGAGTAAAAATGTTTTTTTTTTAAAAACTCTCTCTCTCCCCTAGGGGCTCAAACTAGTTGTTCCACTTTGATTTTATCGGATAACTATGACTTCATAGAGGTAGAGAAAATACACCACAAGAGAGAAAAAGCATTTTTTGGTTTTTCAAGAACCGAAATTGGTGTGTACTTTAAATTCGGCTATTCAACAACCAAAAAGGGGTAAAGTCGTCTTTTTTAAAAAAATTATGTTTTGACATGAAAAAAACTAATATAGTTATAATAACGAAAACTATTCGGTAGAGCTGTAATAACGGAAACTATTCGATGTGAACTATGGTTAATTAATAACAAATTATTATTCATGACCTGATACTTGGTGCATGAAGATGCTTGTAATAGGTTTTATGTTTTGTGTGTATAAACTAGTATTTTAAAAATGGTTGATCTGGATGAACCAACCGATCCAGATCGGGATTCAGTTGTACCGATTCAAATCCCTCTAAATATCAATATCGATATGTTCTTACCCGTTCTCTGATAGAACCGATTGGTTATGTTAGAGAATTGGTCCAACTTATTTATTATTATTATATTTTTAATTTTACTTTTACTTTTATTATTGTTTTTATTATTTTTAATTCTAATCTTAAAATCGTGTTATTTATCCAATAAAGCACATTCTTTGACAAGAAAATTGTTTCCTCAAATATTGGGTTTATCGTGGATTTGCCTAGCAAAATAAACTGCATCCCAACTATCCTTCTTCAAAGTTGTGGTTGCATACTAAAGGAGTATTTTTTTAAAAATAAAATAAAAATAAAGGTATGGTTTTTTTCATTTAGATTTCAGTAGTTATTATGGAAAATAACTATTTAAAATTTAGATTTTGTGGATTACATTTTATTTTGTGTGCAATAAATAAAGTTTATGATGGGTTCAAGCTCCTGTAATTGATGAAAAACCCAGGAGTTGAGCGTAACTAGGCGGTGTATTATACTTTAATTCATTTGTTATGAAAATGGGAAAATGGGTAGAGTCAGGAGCTTGATGAATGAGATAAACCCTTCTGCCCGTCTACCTTAAGAGGTAGAAACGATAGAGAGAGAAGTGGTGGCAAAACAAAAAAAAAAAGAAGAAAAAATGAGAGAAAAATCAGAGGGGGAGGGAAAAAGGGCAAAAATAAAAAGAGAATCATTAGACATCTAAATTAATTAATTTAATTATATTAGTTTAATAAAATTTTCATAACTTATTAATTGCTTTTTAAAATTATTTATTTTAAAATTTTAAACATATCCAATTTTTTTACATCGACTTTTTGAACCTAATCCAATATATTTACGATATTTTTATGTACAATATTTTTCTTGATCCATAGTTTTGCCTCGAATTTCTGCATCTGACTTTATGGACCAAAACCGATTTAATTATGTTTTTGTGGTGCGTTGATATTACGATACTCCACGACTTGCTAACTATGCTTTGAAATACTATTTATTAAAGTTGTATGAGAATGCATGATAAATTCCATGTGAAATGGTAGGGCAAGGAATGGTCCAAGCCACTCCTGCCCTAGTCTAGCCCTAGTTCTCGTAGGGCTAGCCCAAGAGTAGCTTGGCCCTTACTAGGCCAAAGAGGCCTAGGCTCAGGCTTGACAGGCCTGCCGAACCCGCTCTATACTCGAGTTGCGATGGCCCGGCACTTGGACCACATTTTGTAGCCAGGGCCTATTTTTTTACAATTGGGCCGGGGCATGAGCCCTATGGGCATCCCCCAAGTGGTAATTGCACTAGTTCCCCTTGGAAAAAAATAGTAACTTTATGGAGCATGAGACGCAAAAAGCAAACTCGGACTCGAAAGTCACATGATAAAATGCTAAATAACAGTACGTGAAATGACCATTTTATCCTCTGATTGTGCATGTCAGTCGAGGAAACGTGCATAAAATGGTAAAATCGTAAATTCCACTAGATTATTTTACTCTTTTTCAGCTTCCAGGGTAAAAGTTAATAAAGACGAGCAAAAAAATAAATCTCCATTAAGTTGGACGAACCCTAAAAAGTTTCAGGTCAAAATGGTAATTAGCACTTATTAGCACGGGATCAAATTACTATTTTATCCTCAAATTACATCTTCAAAAGAGTCGCTTAAATAAATGGCGACCTCTAGTTTATTCTGGTTCGGAGAGTCCTCGCCTGTTTCTCTGTCCTGAAAACCCAAAGAGAGAGACGACAACCTCTGAAAAAAGCCCTAATTTTAGTGAGTGAACCTTCAAACAACTCTTTTAATGGCGTCCAAGCTTCTACGCCATGTCTATCGGCGATCCCCGAACCCTAATTTCCTCCTCCACCAAACCAGGATCCTCTCATCCCAAGCCCTAGCCACCCCCTCTGCAACTCCCCCACCTTCTCACCCTCCTGTAATGCCGTATGATCAATTAGCCGAGCAAGTGAAGCAAAAGCTTAAGAAGCTCGATAATCCCAATCCTCTGTTTCTTCAACACGCTTCACCAGAGCCTACCCTAACTGATCACACTGCCATTTTGTCAGCTCCATCGACAAAGGTCACGACCCTGCCCTCTGGTTTTCGTATCGCCACTGAATCAAACCTGGCTTCACAAACTGCGACAGTTGGGGTATGGATAGATGCAGGTTCGAGGTTTGAGACTGATGAAACCAATGGAACTGCTCATTTTCTCGAGCACATGATCTTTAAGGGAACAAACAGGAGATCAGCTAGGGCTTTGGAGGAGGAGATCGAGAACATGGGTGGCCATTTGAATGCTTATACTTCAAGGGAGCAGACTACCTATTATGCAAAAATTTTGAAGGGTGACGTGCCTGTTGCTCTGGATATTTTGGCTGATATTTTGCAGAACTCATGCTTTGACGAAGGGAGAATCAATAGAGAGAGGGATGTGATTTTGAGGGAGATGGAAGAGGTAAGGGCCAGGGTTAGGATTATGGTTATTCCCTCTCAATATTTTTCTTTATCTCTTTTTTCTTGGTTGTCGATCTGTTTAGTCCAACTGTAAATGTCACGAGTTTTCTGTTTCATCCGTTCATTTTTTCTCAATTTGAATTTTCTGCAATTATGCTTTGTAGTGTACTGGTGCAACTCCATCTATGCCTTGTTTTAGGATTGAGCTGTTTTCTGTAACCTTTTAGACCGTTTTTGTTTATTCTGTCAGCTTATTGCAATTTCAGTTTGGTTCTCTTTTTTTTTGGAAGAAGGTTAACTTCATATATAAGATAAAGATTTACACAAGGGCCAAAAAGATGGCACCCACATTTTGGGTGCTCCAGTTTGGTTCTCTTTCATTTCGTATTTCTGGAACATATTTTTTGGGTTTATATATTTTTGAATAAAGGTGACATTATATTAGATAACAACTAGCATAATCATAGAAGTTTATATTGTGGTGTAATTTCTAGCATAATCATAGAAGTTTATATTGTGGTGTAATTTCTCATTTCATTTGAATATCTGGTGGAGTTCAAAGGGGTTGGCCATTTTGCCATGATATTTCTACTCTTATATATGATCTGCATTTCCTTTGAGTTTTTTGGATTTCTCGTCACATCTTTCTGTCTTATTCGAGTTTGTGCAATTAGGAATTCGTTTAGAGTCACCCCCCCCCCCCCTTCTGTCATGGTTTTGGAATGGTATCAATATAAATAGTAATAAATATTGGCCTTGAGGTAGGTTGCTGGCTGCCCAATACACCTCCTCCCAATACACCTCACAGATCTTTGGGAGCTTGGAAGTGCATAGCTTCCAGCAAACCTGCATTCATTAGTTGTAGCAGATTAAGGGTGGGCAATGGTAATTGCATTAGACTTTGGCTAGATATTTGGTTAAGTGATGTGCCCCTCTATCTTGCTTACCCCTCCCTGTTCACCATAGCCCTGAATCCGGAAGCTCTGGGACCCCCATCTTCGGAAGAAATCTCAATTATATTGAAATTGCAGCCTTAAAACCCCTCCTCCAAACTCTAGCAACTTCTTATGTTCCTTCCAGTGTCCTGACTTCCTCTTGTGGTCCCCTAACCCCTCAAGTACCTTCACGGTTGCATCTTTCTACTCTTCTCTTCTTCATAACCTCTCTCCCTTTCCCATTCTGAATAAATGGTGGTCCCTACCAGTGCCCCACAAGGTTCAAGCCTTCATGTCGGTCCTCCTTCAAGGAAAAACCCTTACCTTAGACCAGCCACAAACATGTGGCCTCCCCTACCTAACATATGCGTCATGTGCCTTCAGGAAGAGGAATCTAACCCCGACCTCTTCATACATTGTATATCAGCTTCAGCACCTTGGTCCTCCCTTCTTATCGATTTGACATTTAGTGGGTCACACCCCCCTCCATAGAAAGCCTCTTCTCCACCCTTCTCTCCCCGCCTTTTCCTCATAACGGCAAAAAATTGTGGCAACTTTTATGTGGTAGCACTCCTCTGCGGAATTTGGTTGGAAAGAAATTCTAGATTCTAGGACTTTTAGGGGTAGGTTTGACCTTGCCCTCTTTGACTCAGTAACCTCCCTCATCTTCTACTCGGCAAATCTTATCCCTATTTTTGCCAATATCTCGATCACCCATTTTTTAAATAATTGGGACTCTCCTTTGGGTCTTTCAAACTCAATTGTTGCTATCAGAGAAAATTAGTCCCCTTCCCCTCGTTAGGCTACTAGAAGTTGAACACCGATGGATCCTCCTTAGTGAATCTTGGTCCTTCGGGTTACGAAGGCACAATGGCCAACATAGAAGGCATCTTCACATTGTTATGAGGGTATATTGGAATCACATATTCCACAACTATCGAAGCCTTGGCCCTAAGTGTCTTAAACAAATTCAGCCCCTCCAACCATTGTCCCATGGCCTCATTGTTGAATGCAACTCCAGCAATATTGTTTCTTGGGTTACTTGAGCTTCCCAGCCCCCATGGCGTCTGCACCACATATTTGAGCATATATTATTTTGTGCAGCTCCCTCTCACATATTTCCTTCAAGCATATCCCTCGAGAAGCTAATTGTAAAGCAGACAAACTGACCAAAGAAGGTGATCTCAACTCCTCAGGCGCACCTCCCTTGATTTAATCTCCTCAATCCTCTCTCTCTCTCTCTCTCTCTCTCTCCTCCTCCTCTCGCTCTCTCTCTCTCTCTCTCTCTCTCTCTCTCTCTCTCTCTCTCCTCTCTCTCTCTCTCTCTCTCTCTCTCTCTC